CCCCCCCCCCCCCCCACACACTTGAAAGTAGAAGATAAAACTAAACATTAAAATAGTACTGTATATACATTTGCATTTTTTCCCTTTTCCATGCCATTTTTCATGTTCAAAACAAAGCCCCAGACTTTCTCTTTTAGAACTTTTAATAGTACAACTACAAGTTCTTGTCAGAAAAAAAAGAGGCATTATAGTTCTTGATCTGCAGTTCATGTGGCTGGCTAACAGGTTCAGCGCCAGCTACAACTAAGGATAGAGGCCCAAGGCAAGTACTTGAAGAAGATAATTGAAGAGCAGCAACGGCTAAGCGGAGTTCTCTCCGAAACATCAGGTGGGCCCCACGAACCGAATAATGTTCCTGATCCATCAACCCCCGCCCCAACATCTGAACCTCCCTGCGGCGAGAACAACAAGCTCGCAAAGTCTATCGATGAATCTTCATCATCTCATCACGAACCCCTAACCCCAGATTCTGGTGGCCATGAGAACTCTCCGGTCAGCTCCCCGACCGGAAAGAGGCCATCAAAGATGCTTAAGTTTGATTCAGGCATTTCCCTTGCTCAGTCCGACCCGTTACAGTTTGTATGAGAGAGAAAGCCGGTCGACCCAATACTGAAATGTACTTAGCTGTTTATCTCTTTGGACCAGAGTCTGTATGTCTGATCTCTTGAAATTACATGAGTTTTTCTCATCAGGTTTCTAAAACCCCTTGTGTTTAAATCATTAAAACCTACAGGAGATTGTATTCACTGTTATTGTTAACCACTATTTATTTGAACTTTGGTTTTAATCATCAAATTGGTTTCTTTTAGCATATGTAAATTATTAGCCTCTGCTAAAATAAATATTGAACTCATGAGGTTTCAATTTCGTGCATGTTTGGCAATAACTTAAACATGTTGAAACACTTATCAAGGTTAGTTTTAGCATTTCCAAGTTAAACTTAACATCTTTTGTTCTAAATTAAACTATCTGTTTATTAATCAAATAATCAAATTTTATCCACTTTATTAATTTTTGATAGTCATTTGATAGAAAAATAGTCATGTCACCACTTTGAGTTTTTTGATGTACTGTTTAAATATGTAAATTTTATTTTAAATTCCATCCCAATTCTCATATAAATTGAATTGAAAATAGTTTCAGTCAAACATCGTAAACCAAAATACAGTAGGTACTTTAAAATGGGACCGAGAGAAAAACTTTTTTAAAATGTAATATCTTTCATTATATAATACTCCGTAGTATAATACTCCCTCCGTCCTATAATGTTCTTCCCGGTTCTGTTTACGAAGTTTGACCGACTTTATTTTTAATTCAATTTATTTGATTGTAGGTGTAAAATTAAAAAATAAAATTTATATATTTAAAAACTACATCAAAAGTTTTACAAAATAAGTGGTGACAAGACTATATTATTTTATCAAATACCTAATGAAAATAATTAAAGAAAGTGATTAAAGTTTGACCGTGTGAATAGTAAGTGGAAAGAACATTTCAAGATGGAGAGAGTACTAAACATAGTGTTGTTTGGAATTGTTGGGGGGGGGGGGGGG